TGAATAAAATTATGAATACTGTTGATATTCGTAAATCTCATTTTGAAAACAATTCTGAAATTAATAATAGGGTCTATGATATACCCATTTCTAGAATAAAAAATATACTCCCAAGTACTCGCAAAGCGGTTTGTGTTCGTACCGGCAGACAAAGCAGCCAATAATGTAGTGGTGGTGTGACGCATATACTACACGAAAGTTCCCCAAAACAAAATTATCAATTCGTCTACATTCAGGTCCGTACGCTCCACAGAGAGTCAAATTGTAAACAAGCATATCACTGCCACTACCCAGCTTAAAGCCTCTTCCGAACATTTGAAAGTCCCAACTATGTACTGGTTACTAAAATTACACAAACACCACCTAATAAGTGTTCTACTACTTATCTGTCAGTGCTTCTAACTACCTCCCTTACTACTATCAAAGAACTTGTTATTAACTTTTGTAATAAGGCTTATAAAAATAATGGTATTAATTATTTTTGGAATGTTGAAAATTCATTAGAGGTTTTAGATAAAATACGTGCTTTTGATGGTCCTTTTAATTCTGTTAACAGTTATGATTTTTCTACTCTCTACACTACACTTCCACACAATCTTATCAAGAAAAAGTTTTCATATTTAATTAAATGGTCTTTTGAAAAATCTCATTGCAAATTTATTTGCTGTAACTCGTTTAAAGTCTTTTTCTGTAACGAAAATGGAAAGTATGATAGATACACTTACTGGAAATGTGAAGATATGATTGAAGCTTTAAATTTTCTCCCGAACAGCATATATGTACGTTTCGGCGATAAAATGTATCGACAGGTAGTAGGTATTCCTATGGGCACTAATTGCGCCCCTTTAATAGCAGATTTATTCCTGTATTGCTATGAATCTGAGTTTATGACCAAACTAAGAAAAGACACGTCATTGTTACATTTGGTTGATACATTCAACAATATCTACTGTTATCTTGATGACATTTTTTCGTTAAATAATCCAGAGTTCTCTAAATATACTACCAAAATTTTTCCAAAGGAACTCACTTTAAATAAATCTTACATAAACAGCAGTAGTTGGCCTTTTCTAGATTTAGACATTTTAATTTTTAAAGGGAAACTCCATACTAAAAATCACGACAAAAGAGACGATTTTTCATTCCCTATTGTTAATTTTCCCTTTTTAGACGGCGATGTTCCTTTGGCTCCATCATACGGTGTTTATATATCCCAACTCGGTCGTTATGCCCGTGTGTGTAGTGATGTCATAGATTTTAACGAACGTAATCAATGCATCACTGGTGAATTATTAAGTCAGGGATTTCATTACCATAAATTGCTTAAAACTTTTACTAAATTCTTTCACAGATACAAAGATTTGATTAGTAAATTTTGCTGTACCTGTAGAAAACTTATTAAAACGGTATTTCACATCATAAATTTTACGGTAATATTGTACTAAAAGCGCGAAAATCACTATGTGATCCGTGTAAACTCATCGAACCTTTAAACAAACTTATAAGTAAAGGTTATCTTACCAATGTTGTAATTAGATCTTTGAATATAGTTTACATTGGCACACATATCGATTTTGTCATCAGCAGATTAAAACATAACTGAATTTGTATTCTTTTCAAACGTTTTTTTTTTTTTGAATGTATAAATACACATCCACGTTCATTTTCTATATAGAGATTAATCTATCTATATATAACATTATACATATTTATTAACAGGTTAACTCATAACTATCCTACTGCCTATCGATACTTTTATTTTGGCATTGCGCAAGTCATGTTTTTTTTTACTGTCCATGACGTTAAAATCACTGGGATGTGTTTAAGTTGATTTTAGTCTCTGATGCATGATTTTTTATTATTATTTTTTTTTTGGCTTTTAACTAGCTTTCAGTAACTGCGAGTACTATCAAATCGTACTTTCATGTTAATTTGACCTTTTGATACAATTTGTAATGTATTTTTGTTATTTACTGTTTACTTATTCAGTGTTATATCTAGACTCACTATTTTTAATATATACCACCTTTGATAAGTTTTTAGTATGACGATAAATTTTTACTTAATATGTTCTCGTACTAGGAACAACAAAATTATTTATTTTGTAAAAATTATTTCCGTACTCCATGTATACCTTACAACAAAATTATTTTCATTTACCTGTGTACGTTATTTTATTTGGCGGCATTTTGTCCAAGGTTATGGTTGTCTTTCTGATATTGTTAAACATCTAACCCCCTTGTCGTATTAATTTTGTATGTACATTGTGTCATAGATCAAATGTATTCGTTCAGTGTATGTTCGCTTGTTTTTGTTAATATGTCTTTTGATTGAGTTAAGCCATTTCAATTGATATTTTATAGTGTGTTTTTCTATGTTGTGATGTTACACTATTGTTTCAGATAGGGTGAAGGTTGGCGCCTATTAAAACGTTTAAACCCGCTGCATTTGTTTGCACTTGTCCTAAGTCAGGAATCTGATGTTCAGTGGTTGTCGTTTGTTGATGTGGTTCATAAGGGTTTCTCGTTTCTCGTTTTTTTATCTAGATTAGACCGTTGGTTTTTCCTGTTTGAATGGTTTTACACTAGTCATTTTTGGGGCCCTTGCTGTACGGTGTGAGCCAAGGCTCCGTGTTGAAGGCCGTACTTTGACCTATAATTGCTTACTTTTGCAGATTGTGACATGGATGGAGAGTTGGCATTGGCACTCACCCCACATCTTCTTATATCTATAAAATAGCCAAACAAGTGAACAAAACATTGTCATTCAGCATAGACGTTTGAGCTTTTATATAGAACATTTGTCGTATTTTTATGGAAATTTGCCCCTTTAGAACAATGGCTATTCGGACTTTTTGCAAAGGAAATGAGCTTATCTTTTTATGACTTACCTTCTCCTTTATCCGTTTTTTTTTTGGGGTCCGCCGTTGACACTTTGCGGTGTCGATACAAAGTTATGCTGCCCTCTAGATATCTTTTTGTTTTAATGGTGTTGTTAATTTCCAATGTGACGTGGACCACATTAAGATATTGTTCATTTGGTGTTTGTTTGTTTGTTTGTTGGTTTTTTTTTATGTTACAAAGCTTCATTGCTGTATATGTTAAAAGATTAAGAAACAATACGATAATCAGATAAGATGTATGCATTGGATAACTTCAAACTTCAATCAAGCAATATTATCTTTTTTAAAAAAGAAAATACACAACTCTAATTTCTTTCACTTATAGGTTATGTCTTTTCGTCACATCTTGTGTTTAATGCGTAGATTCATATATCAATTCCAATGTGTAATGTATACGTTATTCACGCTTGTGTTTTTTTGTTGTTTTTTTTTTGTGTGTGTAATAGGATATGTAATTTACAGAGAGAGAATTTATATTGCAAACTATATTGATGGAGTCTTCTACATTCAAGACTATACGCTCCACAGAAAGTCGAATACTATTGTTTATAAAGCCCGTAAATTTAGATACGATCTACATAAACGAATTGATCCTTCGAGTAAACTTATTCTTAAAGAATATAATTTTATAACATAAACGGGTCAGTTTTACTGCATCAGATACGCATTTCGACAATAAGTGTCTCTTCAGTGATTCTCGAGGCCAAAGTATTTGAAAAAAAAAACGAAACTTATACAAACATGTAAGAGCTGATCAAACCGAAAAGGACCTAAATTAACTCCGCAGTCAGAGGCACTAACGTTGATTTTGTTTTTGTTTGATAAATTAAAACACAAATAAACTATTATATCACTATACGTTGATGAAAACTTATGGTCATTCATTACTATCTATATTATTTACTTATATTTTAGCATTGCACAAAGTCATGCTTTTCTCACACTGTTTATGACGTGTTTTTACTACAGTAATTCCGTTGAATGTGAACTGATTGATACTTTAGTCTGGGAAAAAAATTATTGGCTTTAAACTGCAAGTACTCTTTATAGTTAGAGCGGTAATTTGAGTCTTTTGTCTTTATGTTAGTTTTATGTGCATCTTGCCAATCTGATAAGTCAAGTCATTTCCAACTGTTTTTTACAGTGTGTTCTTATGTTGTGCTGTTACACTACGTTCCCAGGTAGTGGAGGGGGCAGATTGGGTGCTCACAAACTTGTTTGAACACCGCCACATTCTATATGTACCTGTTACTAGTCAGAGCCTGTATTTTAGTGGTTGTAGTTAGTTGCTGGCTGTCTTCTTTGTTTTTCGTTTATTGTTTTAATCATGAATCTCGCAATTGTTTTTTTTTTCGTTTCAATTGTTTGTGAAGACCGCGCGGTGACCTTTGATTACTTATATCCGCCTTTTTTTTACTATGTTGAATAGTTGTCACATTGGTAATTGAGATAATTTCAAAAAAGACCACTGACTTGCATTTAAAGAGCATCTTGAGTCTGCTTTGTAGACTAGTGTCGTCTGTAAGCAGTTCTAGTAAGGATTAAACCACATAAAAGACTATAGGTACAAAGAATTTGGTATCATGATTTTATTGTATTTTGATTTACCACAACTAGTGAGTTATATGAAATCAGTATTAATTACGTTTTACATTTGGTAAATTACGCACATTAATATGAAAATAAAAGGATTGGTACGATTGCCAGTGAGGCAACTCTCAACCAAAGACCAAATGACGACTATAGGTCACAACACCCCTTAAAAGGGGTAAAAAAGAACAACGAACAAACAACAGCTGCGAGATTTCCCGTTTGAATTGTTTTACATTTCAGGAACTCTTATGGCTTGCTATGCGGTATGGGTTTTGGTCATCGTAAAAGGCCACTGGGTTGTCTGACGATAATATATGTTTTAGCTTCTGGGTTTTTTTGTTTTTGTTGGTGTCATGTTGTCCTATTTTGACTTTTTAATTACTGTCCAGTATTGCCGCCGTTTCAGATAAATAATTACTGTCCAGTATTGTCGCCGTTACAGATAAATAATTACTGCCAAACATTGTCGCCGTTACAGATAAAAATGAGAAAGAAAAAACAATCATTAGATTGTAAAAAATATTTTATTAATAAACCAATTCTAGTTCTGAGTCACCAATCACAATTTACTTGGAACCAGCTTCAGAAATAGCGGTCCTCAATATTGGTATCCATCATCTTCGGACATTCTTCCGTATCCTATTCTAACGAGAACAAAACAATGTGTAAGCAGTCATTCAACTTAAATAATATATACATATATACAAATAATTTCAATTATTTCTGATGTACTTAAATAATATATAGCATGTACACACATAAGACATGTTTTATACATTTGAATTTTAAATTTAGATTGAGGCTCTGACTGTCGCTATGTTTACTGTATGTACCATCAACTACAATAAATGTTTTATTGTTGGCGTCTTTGTCAGATTTATTTTTCATTCATATACTATTGGCTTGTAACACAGACGGACATAATTAAGGTAGTAGTTATATTCCTCTATACTTTTTAAAGGGAACCCCAATTATGCATTTGGTATGCTCTTCACGAGAATTGTTTTGCCTTTATCTCTATTTTCATTTTTAAGGAACGGTGACTGTATTTGTTAGTCGTAATGAATTTGCGAGTTAAAGTAAAAAATTGATTTCATTCTCGCAGAGCAGATTTTGGACAGAATTCAAGGAAATAAGAATGACGGACGATAAAAAGAGCAATTGGCGACACTAGCTTTTTACGCCAGATGAGCTAAAACAAAATGTTATGATTGCAATGATATTTTTATGATAGGGATGTTTGCCTTTATCTCTATTTTCTTGTACAAGTAACGGTGTCTGTATTTGTTAGCCGTAAGGAAGATGCGAGTTAAAGTAGATAAAATTGATTACATTCTCCCCCGAGCAAATATTTAAAAAAAATCATGGACAAAAGAAAGACGGACGAAAAAAAGAGGAATGGGCGACATTTTGCTTTTTTATGCCAGATGAGCTAAAACAAAATGTTATGATTGAAATTATATTGCTATGATAGGGAACAATAGTAAAGATATATAATTGTTTTCCTAAAAGGTCATTGACCGATTTTTTGGAAGTAGCTTGAAATGAAGGTACTATCCTCTTCAGACAAATTAAAAGAAATGACAGTGACCCATTGTACTTGTTAACTAGGAACTTTGATTCGTTCAAGCAATTAAAGATAATAATTGTGTATGTCTTTAAGTCTGTTCGTGACAGATCTATCCAGCAACCGATGACACAATACGTTCTGAAATAGTGAACACGTCAAGAACAGACCGACTGTGTTAATCGAAAATATTGAAATTTATTGCTGATCTAAATATCTGTATCGCTAGAAATGTAACGACGAAATTCTTTGTTTTTAGACCTCGACATAAACCAAGATTTAATACATGAACATCTAAGCTACGTTATATTCCCTCTGCATGATTATATTGTCATTACACAGTGTTGTTACTTTTTTAAACAATAACAACCATTAAAATCAATACACAATCTAGTAGAAAGTCTTTATATAGGAACACTTTTTCGCCAAGCGACCAATCAAATGCAAAATCGGGTTCCTGTGTTCCTGTATTACAAACAAACCTTGTACTATATGCTCAAAGCAAATGTCAGTAACATGATTTTGTTTTGATACAGACTCTGTTAAGGCTTAATTATAAAATATTGTATAATATTACCCTTGTCAGCTCCACCTGATGAGAAATAATCTGTTTCATATCCACGTTTACCAAATCTATGACAAAAAATAAAAAGACATTCTTTACGTATTAAGAACTGAATTAAGATGATGAAGAAAGGAAAAGTATGAAACCAATGTCACTGCTGAAGAAACATTTTTCACAAATACACTCAAGACCAAACGTTGTAGAAGCCATATGAATAGAACATTTGGGAGAATCAATCCAAAAATGGCCTAAGTAGAACATTCGAAGTATTGTTATTCAATTTTGCCTGAAGAAGTTTTATCCTTAGTTGTTTTGAATAATTCATAGTTCAAAAATTGACAATTATCAAAACATAGAACCAAGAAAAAATTATGGAATCGTATGATTCAGAAGTCGCGGCATACTATTCGTGTTTCCGTAATAACCTACATCGAATACGTTCATGACCAAGTTTTGGAAAGGAAAATAAATAATAAACGGACCTAAATCCCAGAAGACATAAGCAAAACCGTGTGTGGTAATTATTGTATAATCGTGTACATGTGTACGTATTGAATATTGGCTACATGTTAAAATAAAAGAATATCATTATTGCTTCGCTGTATGCAAGACACTTAAAATACTGGAATTCTTTAATTTCTAAAATCCTATATGATACTGATCGTTTATCCCATTAAAGGTTATCTCTATAAAGAAATCAGTATTTCTAGAAAAAAAAAGACATGCAAACCAACGACAAACAACAACGAACAACACATGAGTTTGTACAGGTAAAAAATGTGGAGGGCCTAACAAGGGGAACAATTAAAGTAAAAATGCAATTAATAGGTTTCGAAAAATAGGTCTTATATATGGAACAAAGGGCAAAAATGTCGACTGCCACTGGAAAACATGGACACGATGGACAGTAGCAGAATGCAGACATTTTGCCTTTCGACAGGCCACATACAGATCCCTAAAAGAGTTGTTGCAAGGTTTATGTAACATGAAGAGTCATCGGATTAAATGTCCACATCTGACCGGACGTGACTGCGTATTTTTTGTTCCAGACATAGACGTTCAGCAGATATCATTCAATCAATCGTGTTTGGTTTAATCAAAGATTTGTCATGGTGTCAACATATACTATGTTCTCGTTGCTCCTGGGGCAAGTAGCTTCAATTCCGCTTGTTAAGCTCTCTTTCTGAATGGACAAGTGATTGGTATATTTAAAATGATTAACATATTCCTGGACTATCAAATTGTATGTCCAAATGTACTTTGAATTGAAAGCATGTCGATAAACCTATTTTAGTATTTCCGTTATTATCATCTTTAGTTTATATATGGAATATATATCTCCAAAGTTGGGTCCTCAATGCTCTTCAGCCTCATATTTCATTTGGCCGTTTAAACTTTTTTTATTCGAGCGTCACTGATGAGGCTTTTAAAGACGAAAAGCGTCTAGCGTACACAATTTTAATCCTAGTATATATAATGAGTTTATTGATACGATTTTCCAGAGGTTGCGTTTCCTACCAAGATGATGGACACGTAATTTTCAATTGTCGTAGCCATAACATATATTTCGTTCTCTTTTCCTCGATTGTGACATCACCGAATAAGAATTACCACCGAATGTGTACTTATTATGAGTAACACGACACATGCCATATATGGAGCAGGATATGCTTTCCCCTTTCAGACCACCTGATATCACCCCCGATTTTTGCTTGTCGGAGTTATGATACTAATAACAATGTATTGTAAAGTAGTTCAGCTATTTAACCAAAAAATGTTAAGAAATAAAGCTATGAAGATTGGTGTAGTGCTAACACAAAATATATTCTAGGCTGCAAATGTTTGACTGAGCAATAAATAAAAGAAATATAATAAGAAAATATAGTCCATCTGTATTTGTTTGGTCTCTGCTATCCTGATATAATCGTAAACACTTGGTATTTTTAATTAATTAATTATCCATTGCTCGTAAACGGCAATTAAAAAAACAGTTACATATATAATTCAATTGTATCTATTTATTATAAATAAAAATAATAAGATGTGCTATAATTGCCAACGAGACAACTATCCACCAAAGTTCAAATGAAGTGGATGTAAGCAATTATAGGCAACCGTACGTCCTTCAACAATGAGAAGTCCCATACCGTAAAATCGGCTATAAAAGGCCCCGAAATGAAAAAGATGAAAACGTTATTTAATTAAAGATAATTCTGTTGTTACATTTTGTATTTATTTATACACAATTGGATTATGTTTTTTTTTTAATTTCCTCATAAATCATATGAAACTCAATATTACACCAGTATTTTAGACTGATGGTAATTCAACAATAATAATTGGTGAACTTTAACATTTTAAAAGAGTTTTGTAACTGCTAGTGAACTATTGATTTCAGAGGATAGTATCCGTCATGATTAGTGCGTTGGCACTGGTCTCAAATTTATTTACATTTTATTTAGACAAAAAGAGACGGAACTTATTTGTCAATGACAGTTCATCCATCACAACGACATAACAAAATCCAAACGAAATCAACATGTTGTTCAGTTTCAAAATGAAATTCAAAGCAATATTACAACTTGCCCCAAAACAGTTTAGATTAGCCATTTATTTCTTGGGAAACAACACACCGATTTTGTGCAATGTTTGCATTAAGGTTTCCATTTTCATGAATTTCAGAAATGATACTGACTGGTGAAGGCTGTTTAAACGCCGCGTCGACATCCATTGGAGAAGTGTATATTTCTGTAACTGTTGTATTGACCTTTCGTAAAGCTATGATTATGCTACAAATTTCATATTCATATATCATATGTAAATTATTTATGAAACACTTACTTTTAAGCCTAGCACTTCTTATAAACCAAATCCACTTGAAACACGTTTTGTAGGGGTCGAAATTAACGATAGTTTGTCATAACTGTTTTGGGGCAACTGTTTAAACCGCCTTCACCAATCAGTATCATTATTACTTCTATATAAATTAAACTTTATACATAAAGACCTAGCTAGTCATGATTTTTTTAAAATTCCGAATATGTTGTTGAGACAGAAACCGAACAAAAAAGTAATGTAAAGTCAACATTTGGTCTTTAAAAAAATTGCGGGTGTCTAACAGATATTTGCCATACACACTAATATGACAAAAACATTACGAAATTTAAAAAAAAAAATGGCAACCATTGGTGAGGTTCCTCATTTGGGACAAGCACATGGACATGTGGTTAATTGGGTATAAGTAATATCGGTCCGATTTTTTAATCTCGAACAGTGGAAAAAAAAAAGTTTCAAAAAAATACCGTAAAGGACTCTATCTTATAATGACTATTATAGTTAATATAAAACAAACACACAATAGTAATGCTGTATTAGGAATGCTCGCAGTTACTTTATAAACAATTATTCCATTCCACATTTTAATATCGGTGGCTGTACTCCATAGTATATCCAATGAACAGTGCAGGAAGAAACGCTCTTGTGCGATCCCCAAAATAGATTTATAATGTTGCAATCTTTCTAATATTATCTATGTGTGCAGGATTCAAAATGGTTGCACCCTCAGAAAAAAAATCACTGTATTTAATCCCATAGCATTAATTGCATTCTAGAAGGTAAAACGATGTATTTGTATACAACGTTATGAATTTAATGCAAGTATAAACACTTAAGGTTTGAATGCAAATGATTGACGATATATGAAAGGTGCAAAACAACAACCACGAAATAGGTAAATTAAGAGAGACAGAGAACTCAAGAAAAGAAATCAGCCCTCCGTGTCTTATCGAATAAAGGGGGGAAAAAAATTCAACAGCAGTTTACTGGCGATTTCATTTTTGCAACGATACACTAGGCTGATAAAAAGATAGTTACGATTAAATGGGAGTAATTTTTAGGGTCTGAAATTTAATTATCAATTCAAAACGGTTTTTTAAATGTTTTTTCTCTCAACCTTGTTCTGGACAGTAGAAATTCATGCGGGATATGGCAACTGTTATGCGCTTTACAATACAATAATTACATTACATGTATGTTTCAGAAGAATCCGTTATTATGATTGGATAACAACGCTTGCGTGTCATACTTAAATTAACCTTCATATCCCAATGAAGTGTAACATTCATGATGACACGTGCCATCACAATAAAGTGCACAGGTTAATTTAAGAAATAGATGATAGAAATCGATTTTTCATGACACTAGCATAAAAATGTAATTATAAGAATTGAATGCTTCTTTTAGTAATTTTATAGGGTTGTAAAAGTGTTGATCGTGCGCACATTTCTAGAATGAAGCGCTTCCGCGCTTCATACAAAATGTGCTTCGGTCCACACTTTTACACCCCAATAAAATTACAAAAAGAAGCATTCAATTCTTTAAGTTATTTAACCTAACCTAAAGGTGATCTACTTAACTTTTCAGTATATTTACTGTTTTAAAAACCAATGTCTTTTGTTTGTTACATAATGATTGATTCGTGATCTTACAATTATACAATTTTTATTTCACAACTTCATTTTTAGTATCAAATATAAAAACTGTAGAAAAAAAATGATTATGTAAGTAAATATTAATTCTAGGAAACTAGTAAGTGCAACATATTAGTACTCACCTTGGTCGCCCTACAATTGCGTAAAAATCATTTAATTCTTTTAAATATCGTCTAAGTTGTTTTGGATTTTGGAAGTAATCTGGTTTTGAGGGTGGTCTCAGCATAGCATCGTGTCCAGTTACCTCGTTGATAACCAGTAAAGTTACAAGGAGATATATGGCTATAATGTGTTTTTGCATATTATCTGAAATAGATAACACACATATACAGTATTCTACCAAACTTTACATTAATCGATTTCTAGACAAAATATGAAGCTTGATTTACATGTTATATTATTTTTACCAAATGACCCCAAGGATTTGTATATATGTCTTACTGAACAAATCCTTGATCACGTTATGTTTATGATTTCTGACAGCTCTGATTCATTACATTGATGATGATTGACCATAATCATGATTTATTTAAATAAGCAGAACTACAACGTTATCTTTCAATATGTAAAATAATGTTAGTTCTTCTACATGCGTATAAAAATAAGAAGATGTGGTATGATTGCCAACGAGACAACTCTTCAACAGAGACCAAATGACATAGAAGTTAACAATAATAGGACACCGTACGGCCTCCAACAATGGGCAAAACCCATACCGCATAGTCAGTTATAAAAAGCCCCGAAATGACAAATGTAAAACAATTCAAACGAGAAAACTACTGAATTACAGGTTCCTGTCTTTGGACAGGAACATACAGAATTTGGCGGGGTTAAAAATGTTTGCGGGCGCCAAACCCTCCTCCTAACCTGGGACAGTGGTGTAACAACATATGAACAAACTATAAAAATCAGTTGAAAAGGGCTTGGGGTGCATGTATTGAAACTATCTTATATAAAGATGTGGCTATATATATGTAATACTAAATCCTATGCTATATTTTTTTTTCCGTTTACAAAACTTGAAGTCTAATTCAAGTTTATCATTTACAATAAAATTATGTGGCACTGCAGGAGAGAGCATTTTTAAAATAAAAATCCACGTATGAGTGGAACAATTTTTAATGGCAGCTCCGGGGAAAGGGATACCACCTTTTCGGTACCTTTTACAGTTTATTATACGGTATGGGTTTTGCTCATTATTGAAGGCCGTATGGTGACATATAGTTGATTTCATCCACGTCATTTGTTCTCCGGTGATTAGTTGTCTCGTTGGTTCTTAATTATACATGTACAAATCTTATTACTGTGGTCAAGTAATCTCGTTAATTGATAATAAACAAAATTAAACCATATAACATAAATTTCTGAACAATCCGACAATCGCGATAGTGTTAAGAAGTAACAGAAACTTGATGGAAAACGATGATAATCTCAATATTAAAACATGACACATTTTGTCTTTTCAAGTTTTGAAAAAAGATGTATATTTTCATTTAAATTATGAGCTAGGTAGGTTGGATACATTCTTGTTTTGTTTTCAATCGAAAGAGAACAGAAATGAGGTTCTAGTATATGTGGTATATAGTTTATTGTATACATTAGAATTACTTCATATACATAAGTCTTACATAACTTAAGTATCGGACGTTTAAGGCGATGCCACATGATTCAAGTTGGATTATCTCCCATTTTCCAGAAAAATCTCCGCTAAAATACCTCTATAGTGTAATTATATGTATGTCTGAAATGTATGTAAAGTATAACTGATGTCGAAAGTCTGGACGTATCTAGTATTAGATAGTGTACAACCAACAAAACTAAAAAGTTACGTTTTAAATATGTCTCCGATTCTCTGTTATCAATATATGTCTGAACAAGCGACGAAACATATAGCTGTATACATCCAAAAGACATGTGTATAATGTAATTACAATGTAAAAAGATTAAACATCAGTGTTTGCTTCCTCCTACACCATGTACCAAAAATAATAAAAACACAATAAGATAAGCGTGTATCAAAAATTTTCTGACAAAGGATGGTTTGATAAAATAAAATAACGTCAGAAGAATTATTGCTTTTTTATTCTAATTCCTCAGAAGAGAATGTGTAAATGAAACACAAGACATTTTATTGGTTCTAAAGCATTCTATTTCGCAAGGATTAACACATAATGAAACCATTCACTCAGCCGTCCACTGGATTCATCTAAAACCCATAAAAAGTAATACAAGATGGCTATGCCATTTTTCCAGTCAACATCACTCATTTAACAAAATCTAGTTGGATTACTATGCATGACAATACATGCAAACAAAAGAAATTATATGCCAAAGAGTTCGTAGAAATACATATGCAGAAAGTCTCAAAACCGTTTTTACTAGAGTCGGATTAAATGAATATCTATTTAATTATATATATATATTCAAACGAAATGACCATATGGAGAGTAAACACGGATTATTATCAATGTATAACAAAACACATAACATAAAGATGAAATCAACTGATACTTAGATACTGGGGAGAGGGGGTAAGGAACCCGCAAACATGTTTAACTCCGCCGTATTCTGTAACTGCCCGTCCCAAGTCAGGAGCCTGTAATTCAGAGGTTGTCGTTTGTTGATTTATAACATATTTGTTTTTTGTTTATTATTTGGTACATAATCTGGCCGTTAGTATTCTCGTTTGAATTGTTTTACATTCGTCATTTCGAAGCCTTTTATAGCTTACTATGCGGTATGTGTTTTGCTCATTGATGAAGACCGGATGGTGAACTATAAATTCTAACTTCTGTGTCATTTGGTCTCTGGTAAAGCGTTGTCTTATTGGCAACCATACAACACCTTCTTATTTTTAAGATACTTAGTATATGTTTATCCTATTAAGTCTTCCATCCTGTACTTCTAATGCCGTCGCTAAATATTTAAATTTACTTGAGGTAAAACAAATGGATAGAAAATTCGAATTTGTATTCTGTGTAACAGTATATACACGTATGCTAGTATCCTCCGTTTATGTTTAATCAGATCCGGTAAGAGCTCATACATGAACCATTGGAATTTATAAATACCGTGTACAATGTTTCGTTATTTAAAACACTATTTTTCCAGATTTTTTTTTCTTGGTCTATCTGCAGTCATAATATTCTTTATTGTCTTATTATTTATACAGAAAACAAGTATTCGGGAATATATCTAAAATTAATTTAAATTGAACTCATGTTCATATAAAAGGCTACTTATTAATTTTGTTGCAAACTATTAAATTAAAAAGTAGTAAAATGTCTGTATTCAAAACGCATTGAAGCCGCCTTTTCTTAAAATGCTAGGTATAAATTTTCAAGAAGCGGGAATTTCAGAAGCAAAGTTTCATAAAAATAGATATAATTGCAATGTAAAGATATAAATTTCCTTACCTATATGTAATTGTCGTGGATACCTGTCTCTCCAATCTGTAACGCTGACCTCTGTGGCCAATGTTATGTCTATATTCACTTATATATCGAATAATTCTTTTAGCATCTGTCAAACGCAGGGTCCGGAGGTTTTCTCTCAGAAATACTAAACGTTTATTTTAATTGTTGCAAGTGGTTTGACAATTAGCTCATACTTGTATTACTTGATATTCAATTTTCGTAGATTGGAAATTGTATTTTAAAGGAAGCGATAATAATGGGTGTGGGAAACTAATTTCCATCTATTGTTCTGTATGTTGTAAACAGATGTTGATAGAAAGATCGACTGTGGCGAGCACAATTTTCATTCGTTCGTTTCTTAATTATTGCATAGAATCCACAAAACTGATTGGCAAGAAAATGTCCTGTGCAGATTCACTCCATAGAAATGGTCGCCATTGCAACCTTAGGCCTGACGTAAGAACAAGGAATATATTTCACATAAATACAAATTATCAATTGTTTTTTTTTATTGTTTGTTTATATTCTTTTTCTTCCTTTTTTAATCGATTTCTTTGTTTTTGTTTTCGTTTTGTTTTGTTTTTTTGTTTTTTTTATTTTTCCTACTGTTGTTTTTTCAAATTGGTTTCTGATTTATCAAGAGTCATTTTAACGAACACGATATATGTTTGGAATTTTCTTCAATATTAATTCAATTGTGCAAGTCAGATTGAAACAATGATTGTGACTGTAACTAAAGCCAAAACAGACAGGGCGGAGGGAGTCTTTTGACTGTTTAAGCATGATATTTTTTTCTAAATATATTGTTAAATGATCAAAACTATGTTAAACTTCTTAAACACTTTTTTTTAGACAAACCGAACAATGCATTTGTACGCATGAGCGAGTGGATAGCGGATAAATACCGAGACGAAATTGCGTAAATTTGAAAACGAGTATAGGCGAAAACGCAAAACATGAAGCAAAAATCATTTTGTGCTGTCGTCTTTTCGCTCAATGGAATATCAAATCGAAACCGAGAAATGACCTTTTCTGACGACCATCAATTTGGAGTCCTTCCTATGTCGTATGCCTCAATTAATGTATTTTGATAATTAAAATTTAGGATATAACGGTATTGTATTCAAAACTATGTCAAATTTCTTACCACTTTAAAAAAAAAACGAATAATGCAGTTAACGCATGTGTGAGTTGATAACTTCCTAGACAAAAACGCGAAAAGGCGAAAACGCGTAATCTAAAACATGAAGTGAAAACCATTTTGTATTTTCGTCTTTTTGCTCTATGGAGATGTCAAACGCGAAAACGCGAAATGACTGCGTTTTACCACCAAACATTTGTAGTGCTTCATATTTCGTATGCACCAATGAACTTGTTCTGAAAATTAAAATTTAGGAATTTGTGATTGACCTGCATAAAACGCAGGTTTTACCGTCGCAAATTGAGTTACCCAGCAACGCGAACTAAGTGGGGAATAACACAGTATGTGGGTTCCTAGTTCACCAAACTCCAAACTTCGGAATCTTGGGTAAAATTCACGGGTTATGGGCTCCATACACAAGAGCTCCAAACTATAACTTCGATATGAAACCGATTTTATTTCCTTAGTACGAAAACTAAATATAATGGTTGAAATAATCTGAAATTATATTATGAGGAATTATAATTGTCAGCTTTTTTACACATTTACGAACATAAAAATATATTCTTTGCAAACAGCAACGAAAGAAAGATTACACAAAAACATGAAATTAAAAGTCGAATATTTAAGATACATGTGTAAAAAATAAATTGAATACATAAAGTCGTACTATTGTTTAAGTTTAAAAACCAATTAAATGTCATGATTTGAATTTTACATTGTATTTGTTCATACGATTTACTGGGCAGAAGAACTAAAAAGTAAAAAAAAATGTCGTATCGTTTCAATGAATCCCTGCTATATACGGGCACTTCAAGGGACTGATTATTATAAAATTAATATGTCTTGTTTTAAAAATCTTGTAGTCACTTTTTTAAGCTCTTTTTTTTCATCAGCACTACGGGAGAAGAACAAAAATAATATAAATAGATAAAATAAAAGACAAATGGTTGACTGAGTCCTTAGAGTGGCCCCACGTTATTGCTAGATAAACAAACAAAAGACAATGACAAATCTAAACATTTTGTTTTCTTTCTTCAAACAGTCCTTTAAAATGCGTATTGAAATAAATAAGAATTATTTGTGACATTATGATAACAGTGAGCGAAACGACTGATGTGAGTGAAGAGAACATTTTAAAATGATGTCCTCCTTATCCGAAAGATCTGAGAAGTCCGATTCGGCGAATTCGTCACAGATAAGAACGCCTAAACCAGTTTACGTTTGTTCTGTTTGTACAGATGAAGTAAAAGCCAAATATCTATGTCAACCTTGTAAAAAGTACTTTTGTGAAAAGTGTAAGAGCAGTCATACAAGTAATGTTCAAAACGCTAAACACAAATTCACAGAGATTTTGGAAACGGAATCAGAGACACCGGATTTGTCACTTGATTTGGCGAAAGTGAGTTCACCTGAAATGCAGAAAACACCTCCAAGAGTAGTTACATCGTCGCCCAAAAATACTGGTCGAAGTACTGGTAGAGCTAAAAATCACAATGATCATACGGTACACATAGATTACGGTAATACTCCTCGAGGAAAGTACAGCAAATGTCAAAGGCATCCTACTAAAGACATACAACTTCATTGTGTCGAGTGCAACAAAATTGTATGCAGTGAATGTATTGTCGAAATACACCAACGCCATCAGTTTGTCAGCATAGAGGAAGCGGGGACAAGATTGAAGGGTCATTTCCATACCATTCTTGCTCCGGTAAAAACATTTTATCATGATGAGCTTGAGACGGCGTATAATAATTTGGAAGTTGCTGAAGAACAGTACAGTGTTAAAACAGGTACATGCTTTACATAGTATTTGGTTTTTTATGTATCTTAATTTTTACCTAAATTTTCGACAGTGAAAAAAGGTCTGTTATTTGATCATTGATATTCTCGGGAAAGCGCCCCACTTCAATTATCTTGGGGGGCACAACTTGTAGTGAGTGTTTTTGCTCCACCAAAACCTCACTGTAACTATAATATGAAGAACAGTAATAAAAACGCTGCGCTTTTGTTTGTTTTTTTTTACGTGCACGTAGTGATCATTTCGATTCGTGAATTGGTGCATCACATTCTCTCTTTTTCATGACTAAGTTATGCTAGCTATTCTCGATGAAGTCGAACAAATGCAAATGTACATTAACTTAAATGAAATAAAGTGATAAAGTGTGAGGGGGACGATTTCGGCATTTTAAAAAGAGTCACACAAAGCGCAAATTTCAATATGAATATTGTGAAGCCCATTATAATTGCCATATAGCAGAATAGGAAATGAAGATTTTTGAAAACTTCTCACTTTGCGCAGTATTTTTATTTTTATTACTAATACATATTTGTTTTACTTTTGAAAACCATCAATGTCTTTCTTTTCAATGTGCACAAGCAACGTTTTATCTTGAAACTGCATTAACATACCCTATGCCGATTGCTTCCATCAATTGTCGGTATGAAACAAACTACGAAGTAAGTATAAATGCAGGTATAGTAAATCATCAGCTTTGAAATGAACAACATGCGTATACAATTTCATGGCTATTAAATACTGACCGAATGAACCCAACTTAAAATTAGGTTTCTGGCTTTCTTGTAACTAAATGTGCGTCATTATCATTCGCTCCTTGCGGAAAAAAATGAGACGTGTATATGATTGACCTGTGCACCAGGTTACGTCCTTTGTGCAATTAACCATCATTATGGTTATTTTATACAAAATCTAATTCTTGATCGTTTAGAACTGATTCTCCATTGTCAATAAAATTGTCTTCTATGCTGGTATTTTATTAGTTTTTCTTACTATTGTGCAAAATGATAGAGCCATTATCAATAGATCCAAATTACTTGATAGCATTTTGTGGATCTGTTGACGAACGGTAAATTGGGTAGTAAATTAGATCAATAAATAACAGTGACCGAGACTGAGGCTTTCCTGAAGCGGAAAATCAGAATAAGACGAGCTATATAAGATACATGCCTAGACTTCTGAAGTTCTGTCATTATTTTCCTTTTCGTTAATTTACAAATATGTTTTTCGCATATACGCCAGGTCAACATAAAATCATATCATATATATAAACAGCCACCCTTTATGGAGCGAATACAATAGTCAAGCTTTCTGGGCGAAGGGTTAAAAAAAGTACATACTAAGTACGTGTTTGCAATTATTATGATGTAACTCATACATTTTTTCTATTGGAGATAGACCATAGATTTTTAAATTCCGTAATATCTCCAATTCTTCAATGCTTGATAAGCTGAGATTTACACATAGATTGAGCAAAAATATTTGAAAAATAGTGGAGATATAATACTATAAAATATTTTCTCGTAGAATGGAATGTAGAAATCTCGTATAATTATAGTTTTAATGGGAGATAGACAATCCCCCCCCCCCCCCCCCCTCCAAAAAAAAAAGACATAGAACACCATAAGAATCACACGGCAATATCCATTGTTATCATTCATGAATATTAAATTCTGATTAAAAAGAAATAAAACAAAGAGGACACTAACGCGTAACAAGCTCTGAAAATAGCATATTAGGTATTGCAAATTCAAACTGTAAAAAGTTTTAAGTAATCTGAGTTTTCAGAGAAATGCTATAGAAAATGAGATCATTAAGTTTCAAGCTAGTTGAATAAACAAACGAAAAATTAAATTCTGATCCCACAAAGAGATCCTCTGTTTATGTTGGTGACTGCCCATTCAAGATATTTACAACCGGGGAGTATGATTAGGAATCAGTTTGATATTTTAACATCTGCAGGATGCTATACAATAAACATGCAGAATTTTAACTGTCTATTATATACCAAAGAATCGCACGGCGAATAAATTTCTCGAGATCTACATAAAACTGTGTCTTAAATGCTTACTAACGATACCTTAAGTTATCTTAAATCTATATGAATATTTTCTTTTCAGAACAAACTATTGACGAGATACATAAAAGGGCTAGTCAGCTCCATGATGACATAGACCGTATACGAGACAGCATTATATCTTCTATAGAAACTAAACAGAAGCAAGACATGGATGAATTTGTAACAACGAAAGAACTTCTTAGTGATAGACTTGCTCATACAGGTGACGTCATTAGTCGCGTAGAGAACGCAATCGAGAACGACAACGACACATCAATGCTTAGATCAGAGCATGAATACACAACACTTATTACCAATGTTGATAGAAATTTATCTCTCCGAGAACCAAAACCATCACGATTTGCTGCAGGATTGTCTACTGAAGAACGCGTAAAAGATCTTTTTGGTAATACAGTTCAGATTGATGAACCGGACAATACAATGGCGACTTGGCGCATGCGTGGCGAGGACAAATTAGAAATTAGCAAAGATCTTGATCTCTCTCGTGTTCTCTCCGTACCAGTCGGAGATGGTCAGCCAATTCATACCATGGTAGCCCTAGGACATGCAGAAGTTTGGTTTTCAACTTTATCAAATTCTAAACAAGCACAGCTATTTGGAATAGATGGTCGAATTGAAAAACCGTTGGAGTTAGAATTTAGTGTGAAAGATCTATCTGTTTCTCGTCCAGGTGATCTGTTCTTATCTTGCTTTGACACGCGCTGCGTTAAACGCATCCGCTTAAATGGAACAGTTGAGACATTTTTCAATACATCACCACTTCATCCTTTAGGAATTCATGTATTGAGAAGTGGATCGGTAATGGTGTGTGTTGTAGATCAGATTTCAACTAATATGAAACAGATGAAACCATACAGCAAGCGTCAACTTGTCAAGGTATCGAAAACAGGCAAGGTTATTAAACGCATGGCTTATAACCTTGACCTAAGGTTGTTCACCCTTCCATTCAAAGTCAATGAATCAGTCGATGAAGAGCTTGTTGTGTTGGATAAATCCAGTAAGGATAAGGGTAGACTAATCATGTTTACCCGAAATGAGCAAATTAAATTCGTATACAATGGTCCACAATCAATTCGAACCGAATATCCATTCTGTCCTATGGACCTAGTGTGTGATAATTTTGGTCATACTATTGTTGTCGATTCAAACAACAATGCAATTCACATGTTAGATAAATTCGGAAAGGTTTTAAGATTTCATCAGATAGGTCGAGACTGGATTGATATTCCATGGTCAGTTGCTGTTGACAATAGGGGACTTATGCTCGTTGGTGATTCTGCAGGGACAATGCATATTATGCGTTATCTACTTAATAGTTAAATTCTAAACGTGAGTTGAAGACCTTTTGTGAAAACAAAACACAATTTTATGATATAAATGTAAAACTTATTAATATATATCGATATCCGTTTTCTAGTGTATCCATTTCCCTTTCGCTTGGTCAAATATTTCTTACTTTCATATTAATGTACTAAGTGTTATCTCATTATTCTAATAAAGAGGTTTTTGTGTGCAACTCTTCCTTTTAATGACACTTTTATTGTACTATTCAAAGTATATGCGTGAGTAATTATACGTGTACATGTTATATTAGCCCGTGTATTGTAAATCAAAATCACACTTTTTAAATTTCGTGCATCTGAAGAGCTTTTCTGGTTTTCACTTCGACCTAAATCATTTAAAATTAAAGAAAAGTAAATCATATTGCTAGATACCATATGAAAATGAACCCGTTCTTCCTTTGGAAAGAGTGCGAAATCAACAATACATCAAGTAATTCGTTCTTCACACTAATACTTTACAAATGAGGAAATTTTAAAATGAATCTTTATTTTTCTCCTTGGATATGATATCAAAGAAGAGGATATGTCGATTCTCTCTCTTTACAGTCAAGTATACATATTTTATTCAAGAATCCATACAAGGAAATTTTAATCCTGGTATCGATCTATGATGAGTTTATTAATATACATTTAAGATGTAACAACTATTATTGATACAGTCAAAAACTCCATTTAAAATAATGTTATAAGGCATATATACTGCTATTGATGTCATTCAGATGGGGATTAAAAAAAACATTATAAAGGTCTAATAAAAGGACTGTGAGCATAGAGTTTTTAGTTTGAATCGCGCTTATAAATTCATGTAATTGAAAATAATACTTATAATGTCAGTGCGTTTGGAGTATTTAACCTCAGCATGATCGTTTAAACCGAACAATTTGAAAGACAAGGATGTATAACCTTCTGAATACATGAGGAGCGTATGCCCTATAGGGAACCAAAAAGAGAATAAGTCGAAACACTACTAGTATTCCTTTGTAGAACGTTTACACCACAAGACCTTTATGGATTCAAGCCAGGAATTGCATTCGGAAGAAAAAGTGGTATTTTTGGCTTTTACCAAAACCAACAAACACGCACAAAAGGTAATATTTCACCTTAAATTTTAACCGAGTTCTGCACATTTGTTGAAAAAATCTGGCAGATACAATTGATTGTTACTCATTTCACGGCACAAAAGGCGTTTCAAAAAAATCAACAGGTTATTTTGTTTTGCATTGCTGATCGGTATCAAACATGTTACCACCTCTACATGAGAGTTTAATTGATTTGAACAATTTCTACATTGAGTTATCACTCTTTGTATGGAAAAATGTCGAGGATTTAGACGCGTACTGGAGCTTCTTCAAAATGTCGTAAACGAAGATGTTGATGTGAGTGACGTATTTTTTGTGGAAAGGCTGTGTTTAATATTCGATTCTGGTATTAATCACAATTCGATACTTTTCTTCATATAACATCTATAAAAGCTAAAACGAAGCACCATTATTTTTTAAGAATATTTGGAAATATTTCGACGATTTTTTTCCTGTAAATAATCCTGCAAATGAAAATTATCCACCACAACTCCCTCTAGCTTAATTCCAATGTTAATAGAAACAGGTGTCTTTCTTTAGAACCTTGGTATTAAAATTTCTCATGATAATCTTCATTCCAAATTTGTAATACTAATAAACGTGACGACATTTGCTATTGTTTTTCTTATTTTTTCTTTTCATGATGATGTTCCTTTGGCTCCTTCAAATCTTGTGAAGTGTACATTTTTGTTTGCAGTTCTTGAATCACATTAATAAATTTTCCTTAAAGATCAAGATTATTGGTTTTTTTCCACAAAACCTTCAAATTCCTGATCGACGTAAACCGAACGGCCCTCTACAAAAGTCATCTTTTTTTTAGTTTACTATTTACCGGTTTTCTCTATCCATTATTGTTGTACTTTTTTCAAGATTATATAATAAAAATCACCATTGAAGGGCTTTATTTATCTCCAATAAACAGTCAATTGAAGAAAAAAAAATAAATGCAGGTACATGTAACTTATTTATATATCTTGCCTTAATTATCATTTGTTTTCATTACCTTTCTAAGTAGAACAGTTTCCTACATAAGATGATTTAACTATACAATTTATATAATATATCGTAATTTCAGAAATTCTAATAAAGATTCCGTTGATGGTTTAAGTCATTTCAATAGATATTGTCTTGATGATCATTTATACTGTTTACAATGTATGTATTTCTATTTCATTATTCAAAAGCAAGATAATGAGCAAAAACATGTTAAATGTTAAAATCTTCAGCAAGCAAGGCTACGATATAAAAGAAAATGAAAAACGCATTATTATGAACAAATGGAGGTGGATGTGAACGTCAATGAGATAGCAACCATCGTACCTAAAAATCTAAAGATATATAGAGTTAAACAACAGAAAGATGTTTATACCATATGTCAAGCTCTATACCCTTAGTTTAGCTATATATAGACTAGTAGGGAATACATTGAACAGAAACAAGATTCTTACGTCGTAGCAAAATGTCCAACTCCGTTGTATACTGTGGAATACAGTCATAAGTATGCTGCAATAGGCTGAGGATAGTCAGAATCCCATAACTGAACCAGAAAACATCGACATGGTTGTAAAGTTTGGTCACTGACATATTATGACAAACAATATAATAATCCTACCAAGAATGACAGCTTTCTGTCAAATGGTATCAGAAGAGTTGGATTTACAAGGCATCATTGTGTAAGAGCAATTATAAAAAATGTCAAAGTGTCAAAAGTCGTGCAAAAATTGTTAAATCAAAATGAATGGAGAACATGTTCAATACACATTATGATAAACAATTTTACCAAGTAACAAGAATGTGTCCATAGTACACGGATGCCCCACTCGCACTATCATTTTTTATGTTCAGTGGACCGTGAATCTGGGGTCAAACTCTAATTTGGCATTAAAATTAGAAAGATCATATCACAGGGAACATGTGTACTAAGTTTCATGTTGATTGGACTTCAACTTCATCAAAAACTACCTTGACCAAAAACTTTAACCTGAAGCGGGACAGACTGACGAACGGACGGACGGACGAACGAACGGACACACAGACCGAAAAACATAATGCCCCTCTACTATCGTAGGTCGGGCATAAAAAGTTTTCTTGCGAACGGTCTCAGAAGTGTTGCGTTCATAAAGTGTCGATGTCGTTGTGGTACAATAGCCCCCAAATGGTCAAAGTCGCATAGCGTATGAACAAACTGTCAAATCAAAATGGGGTATAGTATGGTCAACAACACATGTTAAAAAACAATCCTACCAAATATGAGAGCTGTCTGTAAAAAATTTCTCCGAGTATTTTTGTGATACAGACTGACGGATGACACCATTACCATGTCTCGCGCGTGCGTGCGCGGGACAATTACCAAATATCTTCCATCAAAACCAGATTCCCTAAAGAACAATATTTTTAGGTTGATGAGTTGAAGTATTACAAACATCAACTTTAAATCAAATATATATATTAACTAAAAAACAAAAACCGACAAGGATCTTGACTGGACAGGCTCATGAATATGTTTTGTTTTAGTAATCGGTCATCATCTTTTTAATTTTGAACAGTGGAAAAGGGATAGGTATGGATTTAATTCAAAAGATTTAAATTCGATAACAACACCGACATTGTGCAAATTGGGTATAGAATGTTTCTTTGCAAAATAAAAAGTTGAAGTATGTATACATGAATAACAAACATAACATTATTTAAACTTGTTTATGCCTTTGGTAACTCTAACAGTAAAACAAAAATATACAATACTTTTAAACAATTAACAAAAGACTGAATATTCAAAAATCTTATACAGATAATACGTGTAATATGTAAACCTTATTTTACATATTGCATTTGTCAACAAGATTGATGAATTAGGTGGAAACAGTTCAAGCTGAAATATTATAACAAGAATTTGTTGTATTGCGTGTTAATATGTATGTATCTTGCACATTTTTATAACCTTTCTAAATAGATAAAAAAAGAATGGCTTTAAATGCGTTAAACTTATAATTCCGTGTATGATTTGTCTTGGTTAACACTTGTAGTATGTGCACACGACAATCAAAACATGTAAAAGCTTTCAAATTCAGTGTTAGTTAAACTCCTAGGAATTGAACTGAACTTTCCTTTCAACTAAATCCTCATTGAAGGTTACGAATCAATAAAGATGCGAACACTTTATGGCAAATGTATATAACTTATCCTCGGAATTGTTTCATCCTGCAAATTAAATTCACAAATTTAATAACGTCTATTTGTTTTTCATCTCCAGCTGAAGCCTTGATTAACTGTTCAAGTTCTGTCTCTTCAAAATTTCTCCCAGAAGAAGTTTTCATGGCTTTTAATTTGTCCCATAATTTTTCAATGTCAACTTGACCAGTCCCATCCTTTTCGATTTCCTTGAATGTTGCAAGAATATCTTTAATGCTGAAATGAAAATAAAAGTTTCTATATATACTGCATAACAAACAATCTATACTCTTGAATTGATGACATTTTCTATAATAGCCCATATCCTTAACAGAATACTTATCATTATAAAACACTCTTAACTGTTCATCACTTTTTTTCTATTTAAAGATTGTCGTATATGCTGAATTTGTGCTTTTTTGCTAATTTTAATATCTATATGTCCGGATCAGTGGAGGAAGCATAGCTTAATACATCTGAAATAAAATATTACAAATGATAAAAGAGAAAGACCATTGTTCCGTTACATAACTAATATATGAACATTTTATATCCTACACTAGATGTTAATGACTTACTCTTCACCCACTGTAAAGTAAAACTGTTTATACTCCCAATAACTGAGTTCTCCGTTGTAATCTTTGTCAAACATGTCGAACACTAGACTTGCTTCTTCTGCACTGAGCTTGTATTCGGTTTCAAACATCGTCAGAGCTTGTGGCTTGTGAAGACGGCGTACAAAATTTTGTGTGTACTTGTCAAATGCCGCATCTGCTTCTTTCCTGTAAATTTATCAAAACATTATTTTATTGTGTAAAAAAAATAACATCACTGTATAGTATATATCGTACAACCATAAGTGCCGAGAGAGCCTATATAATAACTAAACCTTCAGTGAGTGCTTGCATCTCATATATTCCAGTGTGGGAACTTGAGATTAAGTATACTACTGAAAATAGAAGGTCTGCATGAGACGCTTATCCTGTCGACTGATCTTTATATACTTCATGCGATTCTCTCGGCTTTTGTTTGTTACCTTGATTTGTCGATTTATGTCATTTGAACATCGTTGACTGTTGTCTAAAATCAAATACGTAAGCAGACCGTGGCATTGATATTAATTTTTTTTCATTTCAGAAATGTTAATTTCATCTCATGATAAAAATTACAATTTTATAATTTTGTTGCGTCCAAACCGCTATTCTGGATTTGCATTCATGAGAAACGATCAAACCCAACATTTTGAAAGTCAAGGCTGTAGAACTACTGGAATACATGAGTAGCAATGACAAGACTTTGAAATATGTTGCTTTTGGTCGAGTGAAAAAGTAACAATTTTGAATTGATCTTGCCACCTGAAAGATTATGATTATTGATTGTTTTACAACTGCTTATTTTTTGCTGCTTTTAAGTGGTTTCATTATTTATGACCTCTTTTGTTCAGAGAAGTATGTAGTCTATCTGGATACTTTAACTGTCAATTAATTCCACATTTATCGCAGTGAATAAAGAACTAGTTATTAATGGTCATAAATATTCACGTAACCCTCTCATTTAAACACATTTTTCAATAAAGTGTCACCTTTAATCGTCACTGTGTGGTGAGAAATTGTTAACTAATTATACCATCATGTCCACCTCGTGGCTATTGGTTTTTCCAGAAATTAAATACAAAATATTCCCACACAACACTACTGTATTGGCTATTATATCTATGATATGACCGACATGACATTTCCTTTGAAAAGCTTGGACATTAGAGTCAACGAAAACTGACCGTAGAAATAAAATATGCTGTATAAAGCCAAATGAATGTTTGATGTACAATCGTCTCGTTTTGATATAAAGCTAGGAAACATTACATTTATTTACATTTGACTATTTCCCGAGAATTATTGGGTTAATTTGGATATCGAGATACTTTTTAAAAAACTTTCAAGGGTAATTTGTTAAGTCTGAACTTTTTTATTGCTGTCAGAGGGAAAAGATTGTTTCCAGTTTATTATCTGATTGCAGATAATCGCTTCTGGTCTACCTTTAAACACCTTGTTTGGAGAGCTTTTAAAAAACGCCCGTAATTTATAACGATCTCGAAAAAAGCACAACTTTTATAGTTTTATTGAGCTACATGGGACGTTCCATATTATATTTTAACTATGTCTACACGGAGTTTATCTAAACACAGTCAGGACAAATATTCATCTTTGAATTTGATGCGACTGTCATACAAGTGAGAGGGTTTAGCTAGCTATAAAACCAGGTTCAATCCACCATTTTCTACATAAGAAAATGCCTGTACCAAGTCAGGAATATGACAGTTGTTATCCATTCGTTTGATGTGTTTGGTTTTTTTTTTTATTTTGCCATTTGATTGGGGACTTTCCTTTTTGAATTTTCCTCGGAGTTCAGTATTTTTGTGATTTTACTTTTTTCTTAAGATCAAAACAATTCCTAAGGCTAATTGAACAGTTTGTATTGGGTAATCAGCTTGCAACTGGGTCTTTCAAAAACAATACTTAAGTCATAAATATTCATGATAGATGCAATTGCTTCAAACACCTTAAAAAGTGTAGTCTCCACTGAACTTTAACATTGAATCTGTTTACAAAACTCCCTTTTACATATTAATAGCTATCTCATTCATGTGTCAATGTAAGAATACATACATATATTATTTTGAAATAATTTGATAAAACGATATTGTTAAACCATGCACTATCAACGTAACTATGTTGAAAATTCAAATCTTCATGGCAAGTGATTTCATTGTACTTTAATTCACGGTCAATAAACTCAAACTAACAGAGAACATCAATATCACCATTTCAATCATCTAAATGTTTAATAAATAGCTGACGGGATGAATAAATAAAATAGTAAGTAATAGCTTTATCTCAATCGAAACCTCACATACATTTTTCAGGGTCTTCGGTGGCCAATTGGTCTAGATGTTTCACATACAGTGAACACTAGCCTATCATCCCCAAGGTTTTGAGTTCGAACCTCACTCGTTACGAGGCGCTTTCGACCCGGATCTTTATTGACTAGGACTGCAAGTTTTCCTGTCTTCACCAATAAAAAGTTGTCGGCATGAAAAAGCCAGGAGTGCCGAAAGTGGCGTTGAACACCAACAATCAATCAATCATATATCTTTTGTAATAAGGAATAAAAATGTTCGTTAAAATTAGTTAATATGTATTTAAACTAAAATGTAAATTACTTGTGAGTTTATCTACATTGCGTTAATGCACATTAAATGGTAGTTATGCTGTCTTCTTGTAATGAAATTCGATTATTAACCATATGTGGCGTCAATTAATAAGAAAAAATGTTTACTGCACTAAACACGACTCCTATTAAATTGTTATATCAGTGAATCCTGGACGACAAGATGAGACATTTTGTTGTATCAACAGCTTAGTTTTATGTCAACAGACATTAAGATAATGATAATATGATACATGTAAAGTGTTATTTTAATATATGTGTATTTTAAATCATTTAAGCTGTAGGTATCAAAATTATTGACTCATGTTTAAAGTAACTAGAGATATTTGGCATCTTAAGAATTTTGACATTATTTTAAATTTTTTTATTAATATAAATGAGATATGATCATTGTATATCTTGAAGCACAGAACAATTGTTATGTCAAACATGATATATATTATAATAAAGACTAATTGTTGGAATCTGTAAGTCAAATGGCAAACTTTAATGATTTTTTAACTACATCTGCAACAAATGTATTTTTTGAAGTACACGCCATGGTCAAACTTTAAGACAGTTCATCAGTTTTTACGTTGGATTAACATATGCATAATAGAATGGATGCAGTCAGTCCCTGTTCTTTTATACTGAAAATGAAATTAACACAGTTTATCTTTTTGATAATTGTTACTACAAAGCTCCCAGTATGTACTGTACACTTTAAATCCTTTCTTTTCCCCATAAATGTCAATAATGACAACTAGACAACAGTGTCTCGCATTCCATTTGACTTATAAGGTTACAAAACCCTCACAAATTAATTTTTGTTTTTATTGTGTTACAAAAAGACTTCTGACACACATAGGTATGTCGAACTGTATGCAAATTGTTCCAAGAAGCCTTTTTCTATTTGTTCAGAAGGTAAAGAATACCAGAAGTATTGAGGGCAAGTGTATTCAGAATACTGTATGCAAGATTTTGGATTACAAATTTAACGGAATATATATAATCTCAAAAATGGTTTTGTTATAGCAAAAATTCCAACTTTTGATGTCTCTACACTAAACCCATACATTAAGACGAATAACAGCAGGTTGAGTAATTTGAGCTTATCAGTACCTGCGAGTATTATTTCATTCGAAAATGTTTATTATTTTATCCTTGTATCTTTACTTTTAAATTTGTTATTATACCGTTAGATTCTAAAAGTTCAATTATTATTTTTCTGTAATTATTTAAACTGTACATTTTTATTCCCGATTGATCGGGATTAAAAAGGCGATGGTTAAGAAATACAAAAAAAAGCTTCATACTCCTCCCCCACCCTAAATCCGTTGATGCATCTTCCCAAAGACAAACCCTCGTTAGTGATTGTCGTTAGTTATAACGAATTTGATTTATTCGTCATTCAGAGAATTCGGCGTTGTTTGCAGATTGTTAAAATCGATAACTTAACATGACTAAGGTCGATACAGAGCTTAACATATTGTGTATAGACTGTTGTTGAAGACAGTATGAGTTAGATACATATTGTGTATAGACTGTTGTTGAAGACAGTATGAGTTAGATACATATTGTGTATAGACTGTTGTTGAAGACAGTATGAGTTAGATACATATTGTGTATAGACTGTTGTTGAAGACAGTATGAGTTAGATACATATTGTGTATAGACTTTTGTTGAAGACAACTGAGTTAGATACACATTGTGTATAGACTGTTGTTGAAGACAGTATGCGTTAGATACATATTGTGTATAGACTGTTGTTGAAGACAGTATGAGTTAGATACATATTGTGTATAGACTGTTTGTTGAAGACAGTATGAGTTAGATACATATTGTGTATAGACTGTTGTTAAAGACAGTATGAGTTAGATACATATTGTGTATAGACTGTTGTTAAAGACAGTATGAGTTTGATACATATTGTGTATAGACTGTTGTTGAAGACAGTATGAGTTAGGTACACCCATGAGGGCGTTAGCTCGATTGGTTATATATAATTTACACCAAGATATTACTGTCAATGCAGAATGATAGTTTTCCATAATTTAGGATGGGGAAGGGTCTTTCAGCGATTTGACCATATTTTATTGAAAAGCATGGTAAGTGCAGGGTCTCCAATTTCAGGTAACGACATCTTGTTGTAATTGACTTGTAGATGTCTTTTAATGTATTGTCGTTTGTGTGTGTGTTTTCTTTTCTTTTTTTTATGGGGTTTTCCACTTATATCCTTGTAATTATTGTTGATAAATAATCATGATTTAAAGTAAAGTTTATATCATAGAACCAAGATTACCCTCTGGAGATTACCCAAATAAACCTTTTACTTAAATTTGACTTATTTGGTATGCGCTTTCATTATAAAGGCGGTATTTTAATGAATAGTTTACTTTCGTGATAAAGTGAACACAAAATTTAATCTGACGGAAATAACAAACACTGTCAAACGATTTAAAATTAATGAAGAATGCACGTATTGATTTGAATCATGTGAAGTATAACGGAAGTCACAAACTTTAAAAGCATTTCACCTTCATATTTGTGGTATATGATTATGTAGCCGCATTCGTTACAGAACAAAAACAATGCAGTAACTGTAGTATGTTATAATTTTTATTACCTTAAATGTCCAATTGTTTCATTAAAAAAACAGACTACCAGTGACTATATCAGAACAAGTATGTATGTGTGTGTGTTCGTACGCTTTATTGTTTACCACTAATGAATACAAGCTGATAAATGTATCGTATGAATTATAAGAAACATTAAGTTTGACGTGTGTAGTGAAAGTGTCAAATGTGTCACCTCTTCTCATTCATTATTGATGAACAAGTAAACCCCCCTTAAACTGGCCTCTCCATCTGCTAGTAGATTAGATAATTTTATTTGTCATCTGTCCTGTATCGCGAATGAGAATACTAATCTTATTAACGATAATAAAAACAACTATTTTCTTAAATAAACTTGTTAAGGTGTATAGATAATATTTTTTGGTACATATGTAAATACCTAGGGCTCAACACCTTGTCGATCAAACGATGCTGTCATAACTTAACTATTTAAATAATTAGAAAAGAGCTTAAAAATGTCATGACGTATACATGGTTTACAGACACTCTTCTCGATTACCCATATCTGGATGAAATGAAAATTAATGAATAAAACTTTCCGAGTACTTACGGCAGTTTCTTTCCCGCCATGATGTTATATTTCTAATATTGTATATATGCGTTGTAAAAAATTGATGGCAACTTTCACATGTATAATCCAGGTAACATTTGGTGAAAAATGAAAAGGTTAATAGTTGAATTAGTATAAATGCCGTAGGAAACCAGTCATTTATATGCTACTATAAAATGATGCGCATGGGCACTTTAAACAGTAGCACACGACAGGTCCAAAATATAGTCCGCGCATCAAAGCACACCTGATTAATAAATATACTACTACCTTGAGTCATATGTATCACAGAAAAACGTCAAAAAATCAATAAATTCTCCATTTGTTTGTCGCTTAACAACATAAGATTAGGATGACTATATTAGGTAATATTGGGAAATATCTTACGTAATAGATCGTTTATATTTCGTTCAAAATATACAAATAACTTTAAGCAATTTTACAAAAATGAATTAATAAATACTTGCATATGTAATGATGTATTTCAAAATCGTTCGTATTATGTTCTGGCAATATTTTTTTTAATAATTGGTTGTACATGCATATGGTAATGTAAACCGATTGCAGTGTTTGCTGCTTATGCAATGGTGCAACAGCAAGATGTTTTTTGTTGGGATTAAAACGATTAAGGCGTGAAAGGCAGGTTTTCCAAAAAGAACATCTCCTTGTTTTGATTTATATAGTATAGTCATTATTTCCTTAAGCCGTTCCCCATTTAAAACTTTTTATTGTGTCCTATCAGGAAATGTTTTTCCAAAGAGCAGTGGTAGCAGGAAGGAGATTAAATCGCTCGGCTTCCCAATCCTCTGAGAAAAAATGAAAATCCCTGCCCGCTTTACCCAATCTGGTTGCATTTAATGACTGGAAGATGTGACATGAGCTTGCAGCAACCAAATATCGAATTTTTATATTAAAGCCAAGTTTTATATAAGATTTACAAAACGTTAACTTTATTCGTCAAGTGAAAGTTTACCATCGAAAATTATTATACTTAAACATAGCAACATAGTGAACATTTTCATTATTGGGACAGACTGGGGGAAAACACACTGGGCTTTCGAAACATATAATAAATCCAGTTTATCATTAGTAATGTAAAAGTATTACACTAATTTCAGTTTGTCCGACACGTTTTTAGAAGGTGAGGGGTAAATATCACCAGGTAGGTCGAATGTTTGGTACGCCAAATACATTAGAAATTGAAGAGAACCAACGCAAACGGGACTTGTATAAAACAATCGTAAATGACGAAGGTTATTGTTGCCTGAGGACGCTGTAACCTAGTTAAAGAATTGTTGTTGAGTAACATACTTAACATTTATTTAATATATTTAGTATAGATTGTGAAATAATGAAAGCAAGCACCGTTTTTTGAACGTATTGTACTTCAGCAACAAATAGATTTATTTTTACTTTAATGGTAGAAAAAAACTATCAGATTCCTTATAAACATACGAGACTGGTTGATTAGTACAACATAGACATGATCTCTCTAAATAATCCCTGATGTGTCTATATGTCTCACATTAATTACACCCACCTTCACTTTCACTTACAATAAAAAACAGTCAATATGAAGTTATTTAAACTTTTCTCATGGAAGTTTTCCTGCTAAAATATGACAGACGCAACGACTTTTCTTGTCCTATTATTACTTGCACTCTACTTGATTTTGATGCTCTGTTGGTTTGTTCTAATAAATTGTACTTTTCTCGGTTGGTTTCATATAGGCTGTTTGTATTGACATCAAATTGTTTAAAGATAATGTGGGGTATATTTCAAAGGGACAGCAGCCTAATAACACGAAGAAGTCAAAAACATCTAGTTGCCAGCAGTCAGACGTGAGCGGTAGATTATAAGTGTAAATACAATATGTGTCAATCTCCCAATTGCCGACCTCTTCTGATTTTCATATGAGTCGGAGTTCCTTCAGACACTTGTCAAAAACAAGAAGATCAAAAAGCCAGATCATTTAATTTCACATTCAGATATATTGATGATGTTCTTTCCATTAACAATCCAAACTTTTCTGATTGGGTTCCATTAATATATCCTCCAGAACTAGAATTAAAGAAACAACAGACACGGCTTCCTCTGCCTCATTGTTAGACTTATACCTCGAATTTGACATAAGCGGTCATCTCAGTCCCAGAATCTATGACAAACGAGACGATTTTAATTTTGAAATTATCGATTTCCTCCACCTTAGTAGCAATATACAAACTTCACTTGCATATGGGATATACATTTCCCAACTCATTCGGTATTCAAGAGCTTGCAGCTGCTACTCAGACTTTGTAAAACGTCACCAGTGTCTGAGCAGAAAGTTGATGAACCAAGGGTATGTAAAAGAACGTCTCGTCCTTTTTTAAAAAAAAAGTTTATCGGAAGATACTAAGACCTTGTTGATAAATATTCTGTTTCAACTTCACAAATAATACATGATGGTCTTGAAGTATAGATTCTAGGTACTGACGTTGTTTATCATTTTAATAAAGTGTTATAGTATTCTTTTATTTGTCTTTGTAATTTATTACTTTTACTGTTTAGCCTATTTTTGGCAGTATCCATTTAACGTGGATCGGTACTTGTACATCCCGTATGGTTAATTTTTGTATTCTTGTCTTTCGTTTTTGCTAATGTGCTTTGTCTTTATGCCTTTTTGTTTGTCTTTGTTGATATATTTGCTTGGTTTTGTAGTGACTAAGATTATAACACAATGTTGACTTATTATGTCGGTTTGTTTTGTTCACACATCGTTGTCAATATAATGGAATTTTATGCGACTGTCATACAAGTGAGAGGTTTAGCAAGCTATAAAACCAGGTTTAATCCACCATTTTCTACATAAGAAAATGTCTGTACCAAGTCAGGAATATGACAGTTGTCATCCATTCGTTTGATGTGTTTGAGCTTTTGATTTTGCCATTTGCTTAGGGACTTTCCGTTTAGAATTTTCCTCGGGGTTCGGTATTTTTGTTATTTTACTTTTTACTTCGTGTAAAAGAGGTTGAGAAAATATTACCGTGGACTACCAACATTTTTCGTGAACATTTAAATCTCAAAATGACAAAAACATTTACGTGTTGTAAAGCAGAGCAAAAACATGTGTATCCGTAATTGTAGAAATGGGCTGTGTCTTGTTATATAAGAACGCATTTGACACTCATGAATAGCAATACTATTGTATTTTATTAGTTTAAATACTATTATGTTACTTTCAAACGCAGTATTAACTGTCCAATAACCTGTCGTCGCATTCTGTCCAACGCTGTGATTTGAAACCCACTTTTCGTAGCTAAAAATAAATCCAAATAAATATATTTATTATAAAGCAAACACAACTTCTAATCATATACTTATTATTTAATATTTCCGTCCCTATCCACTATACCCGCATTTTCCAGTGGCAGTCCAAATTTCTCCGACCTTCATCCCGGACAGCCTCTATTACATGACCTACATATTGTATTCATTGTTAATTTGTTCCCGTCCTGAACACTCATGACATATTTGCCATTGGACGTTAAACAATCAACCATCAATCAATCAATATTATTTTTATACGAGAACGAACTGTATTCCTTTTCTCGCCGACTTTTCCCCTCAATCGTATGAAGCATTTTATACAGGAGCATAGTTATCAAGCTGTAACTTTACCGATTGTGTCCTGTTTCCGATTGAGACTGAGTGTGAATTCGCAATGCGGGTTATGTATTCATAGCAGGAGACGTTAACCCTATTGTCACACCCTCTGTCTGGCTCCTTTTTTGTTTGTTACCTTGAAATGTACCTTCTTAATCGTTCTATGAGTTTGAGAAAGCAACTGTTGCCGAAATTTCCTATTTTGATGTAGCATCATTAGATTATTCCAGCAGCACCTACATATGAAATATAATCGAGTTGTTACGATATCCCCGGGCTTGGGCTTCTTATAATGATTGAGTTGACGTTAGCAAAGATTTATTTAACCAATGGTACTTTACTGCAAAGTTGGTGTCATTTCTTCGAAATTGTAAATGACGCCATGATGTTTTGATTGACCGTTATGGAATATTTGTGTTACAAAGGAAAGCGGTAGAACGTTCCACTTTTCGTCACAATACCGTTCACTTTCCCTACTAATGCGAGTTATGGATCTATTTGTACTTGACATTATCTAAACGACAGGTGTCACCAGTTGAACAGGAAATGCTAACCCTTCCAGGGCACTTTAGATCACCCAATGTTGGTGGGATTCGTATTGCTCAATATAAGTCGTATGTGTAGCGCATTGAGGACTACTGTTTGTCTGTTTGCTTTTTTGTTTTCGTTTTTCGTTTGGGTTTTGATTTTTACAGTTGATAACAATTGTGTACGGATACATCAATCAGAAAGGAGGTCAATCTAATTAAAATATAGAACTCGGATTTCGTTATACTGCATACGTATGCAGTATAACGAAATCCGAGTTCTATATTTTAATTAGATTGAAAGGAGGTGTGAGGTCACAAAGCACAAAAGCGCAGTGGTCCTATCAATAGCAAAAACGTCCGGCGCCGATATTTCTTCCCAAAAATATAAATTGAAATTATCAATCCTATTATTTAATACTATACATAGGAAACAAAAAGATAAAAACAAATCTAATCGTTTTGAAAAATGATCTATTGATCAACCAATGAACACCAATGAACACTTCTTTGCTTTGAAATTATTGTCAATAATTGTCTATACTCCACTGAAGTGTTTAGGTTAGGTCATTGCGTACAACTGAACTGCAGAGTGTGTTCACTATGTCTGCTCGCATAAACATTACATGTTCGAGATAGTTTATGTTGCATTTGTTTTTTTCCGTATTTATCTGCATGTAAGGTAGATGCAATAATACCTTTTTTATAATATCACATTCAATTGTTAAATTTTCAGCTGAAATTATGTTCCATTTCCCTGTATTTAGCTTAACTGTAACAAGAAATCTTTGTCTGTTTTTTTTTTTTAAATAATGAATGATTGATATACACACAGATATAAATGATTCCGCGATCCCACAATTGAGAAAAAGACGAAATACGGATTTACCAAAATATGCGCCAGTGTAACCAAACCAGTCCCAGCAACCATTTAGATTAGTTGGAATCGGTGTAATCTGTGGATACAATATGATGATATTATTCGCTTCTCCGACTTCATTGTATCCGGCGTGCTTCACATATTCGTCATTAATAAAATGTCTAAAACAAAAACAGATCTCTGCAGTTATTTTGTATATTTCAGTCAAGTAACAATCAATAGAACAGATTGTTTGTTATTGTGAACTAAACAGCATATATTCATCATAAGCGTTGCTTTATATGAGACATGATATAATATAAAAAAAAGGATGAAACGAAATGTATTAAAAATTCTTTGTACATAACTTTTGTCCATGTTATAATTTGTCGCTGGACGTTTAGCAATCGATAAATTGAATAAATTAATATAAGTACCTCAATGATCTCGATATTTATGTTTTTATGTTACTTATTGACTAAGCATTATTTCTTCTGCATTTTTAATAGTTTTCTCTATGATACAGGTTTTTCTTCTTCGATTTCAAACCCTATGTAGTCATTTTTTTCGTGTTGTTTTTCTTTGTTTATTTTTTAGTTCGTTTTGCCAACCATTATTTTTAAAAGTTTAAAGGCTCCCCATTGTAAACTGAGCTGTTAGCTTTTAATTTTGATAGATGCATCATTTAAAAAGGTAAACTAACCTTCCTTGTTGACATCCATGAAGTGCAATGTGAAGTTTGCATTCTGAAAAGAATTCGAAATCATTTTTCAAAGATAGATTTCGTAAGTGTTTCTATTAGTAGTTGTGTTAAAACATCATCTTATTCAAAATAATCTGCCTATCAACATCTCAGTATTTTTTTGCATTTTGAGAAAGCAAACTTAGTTTAGAACTTTATAATCACGATTGTTTAAAAAGAATAAGATTATAGATCTGTATTTTAATTGTTTTTGTTTTGTTTTTTTCATTTTGTTGTTATTTAATTATTATTATTTTTTTGTGCTTCGTACCAACCAGATGAATCAATGTCATTCCATTTCCAAAATATTTAACTGTCTGTTCATATGTTATGCTGTTTCGCCACTGACTTAGGTTAGGGAGACTATTGAGCACGTGGAAACATGTTTAACCACGCCACTTTCCATTTGCTGTCTGTCATATTTGTTTTTCATTTATTGTTTTTGCATAGATAATGTTTCCTCTTTTGAATTTTTTTATTTTGTCATACCGATGCCTTTTACATGAATTATAGCTTACTTAAAGGTACGAGTTTTGCTCATTGTTGAAGTCTGTACGGTGATCTCTGGTGGACGGTTGTCTCATTTGGCAATATACCAAATTATCTTTATATAAATAATAAAATGCTCCGCTGGGCGCAGCTTGATACGACCGCAGTGGTCGAACCCTGAACAGTTGGGGCAAGTATGGACACAACATTCAATCTTGATACAGCTATGAATTTGGATTGTGATTAAATATTTGACACAGCATACGTTTCAGACACAGAATGAATGTGGTCTTAGAACTTAAAAAGTTTTAATTTACCTATTCAAACCATATCATTATTATTTGCTTTTATATATAAATCAGAAATAACCAATTTAAAATGGAAAATTTTAAAGAAAAAAAAAAAGGAAAAAAAAATCCCCCCCCCCAAATTTTTGGAACCCCCTTATGATTCATCCCCCCAAACTCAATAACAGCCTTCCCTTTGTGGTATGGTACCTTGCAGTACAATTTCAGAGAGATCCATACACTTGAACACAAGTTATTGTCTGGAAACTAGAAAAATGCTTGTTTTTTTGCCCCTTTTTGGCCCCAAATTCCTAAACGTTTAGGGCAATTACCCCCAAACTCAAAACCTGCTTTCTCTTTGTGATATGGAACCTTGTAGTACAATTTACAAAAGACGACGACGACGCCAACATCATACCAATATACGACCACAAAATTTTTTTGCGGTCGTATAAAAACTGGAGGAAACTAGTTTCATATATCTGCTATAAATAATTCATGTGGTTATGGGACATATTTATTTCACTAAAGGCGACAAATTAAAATTATAAAGTGTATAGTATTATGTTTTATTACTTTTTAATTTTTGCTCAAGCATAAACATCTATTTTGAGTACAACCATATAATCGCAAAAATCAATACTAATGTCTGCCAATCGGATGTCTTAAGATCATATTATAGAGGATATTGTTTGGCAGATTTATAGTTCTATTTTATTATGAATTTTGAGACCCAAAAAAAGGCCCTATTATACATTTTCCTTTCATTGAAATATCAACAAAACACTAACTATACTGACTTATGTTATCTTTATTAAACGTTTTGGGAAGGCGCAACTTATCTCACTGGCATCGCAAGTTGGAAGACGAGAGGATAGGTCATGCAGTATAATATTTTTCCTCGATTTATTTGTAGCAATCAACTAAGAAATTATAGTTTTATTGTTTATGTATTCTGATTTCACAAAACTATACTTTACAACAATTCTAAAATCATAAATAAAATTGTTTTTTTTTATATAATAAACACAACATAAACAAAAATGTAGGTACAAAGGGGAACAAAAACTCGTAGGTCAAAAATGAACTGACAATACCATGGCACAAAAAACAATGAAGAGAGGAACCCAGCTCAAAAACGGGATTGATTTCACTTGCTTTAGAAGTGTTGGTATGTTACCTCGTTATTTGTGTCAGCTTCATTCTGATATGACTCTTTACTAGGTTCAACATAATATCTGGGTTAATGGAAACTGCATTAGCGGAACAATGCATTAAGTAATATTATAATTATTATAGCAAATTTTTATATTACGATAATAAAATGATATTTTGTACATATGTAAACAAAGATTTCCATGTTTTGTTGGTAGATTGCATTCAAAGTAAAGTTTTATGATGTGATCTCTTACCTCATCGTTGACTCATGCTTTTTACAATGAGCGTTAGAAATTGAATTTGAATTTGCATCGAAACTTAAAGACCAAAGTATTTCACGATTAACTCAATTGCGCTTGACAGTCTTAATCTTCATCTTAAAAATGTTTTCTTGGATTTACCTATATTACCTTCATCAGGAACGCTCAAAACCGAATATTTGAAAGCCAATGATGTATAAGAACCGAAACAGATGAAAGGCTTTATAAACAAAAAGGACCTAAAAATAATAGTCAGATTAATCTAAGGTCAACTTTGCCTGAGGTAGTTGAAACCTTAGTTTCTTAAATATTTTTGAATTTATAAACAGACAACTAAAGAACGGTTTGTTATAAATCATGTCAGTACCAAAGTACTGACTACTGAGCTGATGATATCCTTGGGGACTGAACACCTTATAATATCAGTTACAGAGTGGATGAAACCACCCTTGACGACGAACATTCTGCAGAGGGTGGTCCGGAAGCGTATTGGGGACATAGTAAAAATAAAATTGGCAGTGAACTTTTTTTTCTAAGTCGAAAATTTGACATTGAACTCCAATTTTTAACATTTCAAGTCTCGAAATTTTGACTTTTTTAAAACTCGAAATTTCCACTTTTCTTAAACTCAAAATTTCCACTTTTTTCAAAATCGAAATTTCGACTTTTCTTAAACTCGAAATTTCGACTTTTCTTAAACTCGAAATTTCGACTTTTCTCAAACTCAAAATTTTCGACTTTTCTCAAACTCAAAATTTCGACTTTTCTTAAATCATATTAATTTCGACAAACTCGAAATTTCAACTTCTTTTAAACTCAAACTTTTAAAATCTCGAAATTTCCTCAGTATTTATACGTTTGTGATTACATGTATCACATTCACAGTCATTTATACTACATCATAAACTTGATTAGCTTTTTTAATAAACTAAACCATTTAAAAGAGGTTATTTTAGATAGGAAATATTTTTTGCGGAAGAATAAAAGGAATATGTTTCACGTACACATATCTTCTCTCAAGTCTGGACTTCAGATATGTGTATCAAGACAACCCCGTTATTCCGACACACCTATATTACGCCATACATTAATTCAACAGTCTAATATATAAAGACATGGGTTAATAGTTGTGGCATAAGAATGCCAACTTGTAGAGTTTAATCAATGTTCCAGAAAAAGAACCAACATTTCAAAATTCTAAAACTAGAAAACTGAGCAGCTCATGAGTCGTCATGAATATGCATGGTATATATCTGCCACTTGATTTACCATTGTTTAAACAAGGAAAAATCAGTGACTTGCTTTTGGGAAACCAAACAGGCCTTTAAAACCAACCATAAAACACGGGATGCTAAATGTCCACAGATCTGACGATCCTATGACAGTGTCGTGAAAGCTAAAACATGGAATATGGAAAAACAACATTTTTTTCTGTCAACATGCATGTTCTTTCCGAATGAAACTCTTCAATATTAAATGCTTATCCATATCATAATTGAAGAACAAAACCAATTTCTGAAAATACATTGCCAAAAGATTTTGAGTTTAAAGTCGAAATTTCTACTTTTTATAAAGTCGAAATTTTGACTTTTTAAAAAGTCGAAATTCCAAGATTTTAGAAATTCAAAATTTCGAGATTTGAAAAGTTAAAATTTGCAGTTAAAGTCGTAATTTTAAGATTTGAAATGTCAATTTTCGACTTTGAAAAAAAAGTTCACTGTCAATTTTATTTTTACGATGTCCCTAATACGCTTCCGTAGGGAGGTATCGAACGTCAGTGTGGGTTTCATACAGTGAACTTTATTGCCGAAAAACTTTCAGAAAATTTCAAGATATATAACAATAGAAATTATTTTTATGAAGAAAAAAAACTTGCCCATACTCACTTGTTTGTTTGTCTGCACAATCAGAAGGAACATAAATATATCCATTATTGTCAAAACTGTATGTTATCGGTACAGATAGGTGGAAAAATGTTGACTGGTCAAAGGTCTTCAACTATATGTAGTAATATATTGTATGCAAATATTAAATCATGTGTGCTGCCTTCTCTGAAATAGATCTTAGTAAACATGCATAATATAAATCAAATAAGGTCACAAAATCTTTAAACTGCAAAATACTAAATTGTATAGGCATTGGCAAATTTTCTGTACGTTTTTGAATATATTGTTTAATAAACTTTAAAATATATCAAAACAGCATACAAAACAACACTAAAAACATACCTGTCCAGTTAACGGTTTCCCTGCTTCTGGTATCTGAAAATTTAAATTGTTTCATAATTCTATATAATAGAGGATTTTATATTAGTTTCCACTTGGTCGATTTCTCTGCTGGTGGACTATAAGTCCCCGAGGGTATCACCAGTCCAATGCTAGCATGAAAACACGGATACGGATATTTCTAGATTGAAGTTGTTTTTATAAACATTTCGGAAATAATTTTGAACTAAGTAATATGTTTCCCTCATGCAATGGTCTGATTCATTGTCAGGATTTAGCTATACTTTAGGCCCTTATTGGTTTGATCAGCTCTTCAACGTTTTTTGATTGATTTTGGATTTTCAAACATTTCGGCATCGAGCATCACTGCACTGAAGAGACATTAATTGTTGGAATGCGCGAATACTAGTGCAGTAAAATTGGCACCGTTAGTGTTATTCTTCATGCGACTATTGTCCGATTATATAGATATAAATACATTTACGCATTTAAACATCATGAAATATCGACTACGATAACGCGGAATGGCCGCATCCGACTACCATAGGATTTGGGTTATTAAAAGGAACATCTACATCAAAACAAAATCGAACCAAAAAAATACCACGAGATTTTAATATCTGGGTTTCAACAATGAGCCAGGACCCTGGAAAAATTGACTTTCAGACTGTATAAATCGTTTAACTTTACTTTTCACAATCAATCAATAAGTATGAATTTGAATAAACTTTCAGAGTTATCTTTCGTTTTCCGTAAAACATCAAACCTTTACTAATAAACTAGATTATAAGTTGTGATACATTTTAATATCTTGTTTGTATATTGTTATATCCTATCTGATTACTATATATAACTTACATGTATTCTGTCTGTCTTTAATTTTGCTTAGCTATATTTTATGACTGGCTTTTTTCTTTTTTCCCTCGCTTGTTTCGCCATGGTCTTGTCTGTTTTTTTTGTTATTGTAGCCGAGGTATATCCTTTTTTTCTTTGTTCTTTAAGTCATGGTGTTGTATATTTTCCTTTATTTTTAGCTGCTGATCCCAATTAATGTCATATCAACCTGTTTTGGTTGCTCATCCAATCTTGTCAATATAACAGAACTATAAACAACTGTCATAGAAGTGGGAGGTTTAGCTAGCTATAAAACCAGGTTTTACCCACCATTTTCTTTGGAAAATGCCTGTATCAAGTCAGGAATATGATAGTTGTTTTCCATTCATTACGTTGGTTTGTTAAGTCTAACGTTTGATTTTTTTCAGTTTTAAAGGACTTCTCCTTTTAGAATCTACCTTGAAGTTCGGTATTTTTGTTATACTTTTTTTGAAGGTGCATAGAAAAATGTGACAAAGATTTCATTAATGTGCACATCATTTAAACGATATAAGATTTGGAAAGCAGAACGTAGAACATCAAAGTCACTGAAGACGTGTCATATGGTACATTGTAAGACATATCAAGTTAAAGCTCGGTGCCACATATCAACTAGCTATATTATTGCTAAGACAAAAGTGTGATGCGGGTAGACGGACTCATGGATCCACGGAAAAAGAGATGTTTTACCTTTAGGTCGCCATATATCCAGTTAAGAAGTTCAAAAGCAGCGTTATATCCACAGTTGTTCAGATAATTGCTTTTTGATAGAACGTTACATGTCCCTCCATAATTGTCAGTCGGCTGAAAAAGTATATTGATATGTTTGATAAACCATATTTTCATGTAACATAACCATATATAGATTATTCTAATGAATAATTGAATTTTCTGTAGTCATTTTACATGGCATATCAGACGATTTTATTGCTTGTAGCATTTCTGTATACTTTCGGCAGTCATATCACCTCTTTATAATTGATCCAGAAATATCAAAGTAGTATGATAACAACACTTTTGTAACGTTTAATATCTATATAATCAAGGCTGATCATGAATATTTGTCAACACGTTTAACGTGTACAGTTGTATATTCGAGTTTATATACTTCACGATCTTGCGTGGTCAATCGATATCGTTCGAGGGAAAACACTCACAATTGACAATGCAATAACGCGTATAACGTCATTTCAAAGAGAATTTGAATACGCTGCCTGGAATAATGCTTTGGAACTTTTGGTTGCGTTTACATGGAATATCATGTGCGTGTGTATTTTTAAGTCAGTTAACAATATATTACCTGACAATGTTCTGCATTTATATTGAATACTGTTTTCACATTAGAATGTAACGTGTAATGGTTGTAATAACGTTGTATGTTTGGTCCATTTCCTGCAATTTAAATATATTTGCCATTTATAACTGTCAACATTTAGTGTTTGATGAGTCGTATACAAATTTCATAGAGTGCTAGTCGTAGAATGAAAGATTCTATATGATACTTTTTTCCTTTAAAATATTGCAAAATTTCTGAAAAAAACAAATATTTGAAACTGTTTCTTAATTGATTACTTTTACTTATTCAACTTTCTTGTAGAAGATCGAAGTTCATAAATAAATGGCTTACCGGGTTTAACAACGGAGTCGGACTGGCCAGCAAAAATGTATACTTTATCGTGTCGCATGTGGTATGTAGAGTCAACATTTCCGAGAAAGGCACCAGAAGATGTCAAAAGTTCAAATGAACTGACAGATTCCAAGTTAGGTGTTTGCATGCAAGCTGCTGCACCTACCAAATTACCACCAGAGCAAGCAAACGGAACTGAAAAAGGAAGTGAAAATGTTCAAAGGCAGCATTTAGTAAATTTGGTGTTGATGGTGTGTCTTTGGTAGTCTCTGTTAAATTAATCCACGACTTTTTTTATAACCGGCCAATTTACGCCTGACATATACCAGAAACATAATCATTTGTCTATTTCATGCTGACCATGTTTTGTCAATTTTGTCAATATTTTTTTGCATATTCTTTCTTAATTCTCGAGCTGGTGTTTGTATATAAAAGGTGTGTTCAAACAGGTGTAACACCCTCAAAAACAGGCACATACAGAAGTTGGTGGGGTTAAACTAGTTTGCTGGCGCAAAACCCTCCCCTAACTTGGGACAGTGGTGTAACAGTACGATATAAGAACAAACTATAAAAATCAGTTGAAAAGGGCTTAACTTATCAGATCGATACAAATCTAACAAAAACACAGACCGGACGTGGCAGGGTACTTATACATCCCCACAACAAAAAGACACTAAGTACATATCTGAAAGTACTCTCAGTTATTGACAGCTAGTTCAAAGCCAATAACAACTACGGAATAGCACATCCTAAATTTTACGGTGATGTTGTTTACCGAGCCCTGAAATTTATATACGATCCGGGTAAACTTATCAATCCTTTAAATAAACTTATTCTAAAAGGTTACCATTTCAACACAGTAATTAGATCTTTGAATATTGTTTTTATTGGTATAAATATTCATTTTGTTATCAGTGAATTAAAATCATACTAATAGTTTTGTTATACACATATGCACTTTAACGGTACTACAATCTGTCGATCGTTTGACATTTTGGCATTGCACAAGGTCATGTTTTTCTCTGACTGTTAATGACGTCTTTATACTTAATTCATTAGATGTTGGTTGTGTACTGATTGATATTTTAGTCTTAGATACATGATTTTTTCTATTAGTTGTTATTGGCTTTGAACTAGCTGTCAGTAACTGCGAGTACACTCAGATCTGTACTTAGTGTACTTTTTGTTGTTAGGGAAGAGGAATACCCTGCCACGTCTGGTCTGTGTTTATGTTTGATGTTTTTTCTGTTTTTTATCAATCTGATTAGTTAAGCCTTTTTCAACTGATTTTTATAGTTTGTTCTTATGTTGTGCTGTTACACCATTGTCCCAGGTTAGGGGGAGGGTTGAGCGCTCACAAACATGTTTAACCCCGCCACATTCTTTATGTATCCGTCCCAAGTCAGGAGCCTGTAGTTCAGTGGTTGTCGTTTGTTCATGTCTGTCATATTTATTTTTCGTTAATTGTTTTGTTTTAAATTAAGCCGTTAGTTTTCTCAATTGAATTGTTTCATATTTTTCATGTCGGGCCTTTTATAGCCGACTATACGGTATGGGTTTTTTTCTCATTGTTGAAGGCCGTACGGTTGCCTTTAATTGCTTACATCCACTTTATTTGAACTTTGGTGGATAGTTGTCTCATTGGCAATCATACCTCATCTCCTTATTTTTATAATAAAAAAAATCATGCATCTAAGACTTAAAATATCAATCAGTACACATCCAACTTCCAACGGATATAGTGTAAAGACGTCATTAATAGTCAGAGAAAAACATGACCTTGTGTAATGCCAAGATACAGGTATCAACAGATTGTAGAGCCATGAATGTGCATACGTACATAACAATAATGTATGCATACAAGTATCTTAATTACATTGTTTTAAAAAGTTTACCTCCGGCGATAATCCCAACACCCATAAAATCAGCAGAATGAATCACGTGCATTTGTGTTGCCATAGCAGCACCTGACGATATTCCAGATATTGATACCTTTTTCTGGTCAACATTATATGACTCTGAAATATGATAGAAAATAGAAAAAAATCATATATTTACTATGAAAATGCATTGCTGACTTCTTTGGAAACCCCCATTTCATATGTAGTCGAGAAATCTATTTCATGTTTCTTTTCTATTGCCTCTCATTTTTTGAATTCAAATAAATGTGGCATGCTGCACATTTCTGGTAATAAATGGTAACATTGAGTGATTATGCATCATTTAATTTAAGAAATAGAAACACAAGCAAATATTTTCCTCATTAATTGACTGTCGTCTACTGCATTCGTAGTACGCCCATCATATGCTTACGATCTGCATCTTAACCTAAATAGTAAACACAGAACTCAAAATATGTACCTGTATGTAGCCTAACTTATAATTATAACGGAACACACGTTATCTCTTCGGATAATATAAAGAGATAATAATTAATGTATTATTACTTTACCCAATCTATCAGCTTTTCCTTCGATAGTTGACAAGGCATGGAGAATCAAAATTATAATGAATAATTTTAGTTGCACCATTTTGAAAAGTTGGCAACCATAATTTGTCAAAACTGATAAAACACGCATCTGTATGTTGACTTTCATATAACAGCTTAGATATTTCTATATTTATCGACAATGTATATTTGGATCCACAATCATCTAGATAGTCACGGAATGATGGAAATAAAGCGATGCATGCTTAAGAAGTTTTTAACTCGAATAAAATAGATGTAGAATTTAAGAAAACATGCGTTTAATGCCGTTTTAATACATGGTAGTGCGCTTGTTCTACCCGAGATTCATGTGTACACAAGACCCGAATTATATATATTAAAAATGCCATAGTGTTAGATAAAGATGTAGTTCGAATAGACCTTTCAAAGGTTTTCATGATTGCCTACCGCATGAAATTTTGCTCGATAAATTATCAGCATATGGTGTCTCTTCTCATTTCACTTCTTCAATCTTATTTGTCAAACAGGAAACAGCAAATTAAAATAAATAGTATTCTTAGCACTTGGGCCGACATTCATAAAGGGATTCCCCAGTGTTCTATCCTGGGCCCTCTACTGTTTAACATTTTTATCAATGATCTTTCATGTGAATCAACTGTTAATCTGTTAATGCTTGGCATTGACATTGAGTACCAGTTAAATTTTGATACTCATATTAGTAAAATATGCAGAAAGGCATCTCAGCAGCTAAACTATTTTGAAATGTCTGGAAACTGATTTGAAAAAGCTAAGTAAGCTAACTATATTCCATAATTTATTTCGAGCAATTTCAATGTCTGCCCTTTGGCATGGTATTTCTGTCCTGAGAAAAAAAATTCAAAATTAGAAAAACTGTGAGAAAGAGCAGTAAGGTTTGCGTATGAAGACCATTCAAGCTCATACCAACAGTTGTATGAAAAGACTTAGATGCCTTAACTGCATATTAAAAAACAAAGATCAATGGCAATTGACACTTTTGACATAGTTAAGAAATAAGCACCTGTCTGTTTAAATGATCTATTACATGTAAAAGATTGTAAATATTCTTTCAGATATAGTAATATACTGGATATTCCCAATGTAAAATCCACACAGTTTGGTAAGAAAAGTTTCAGATTTGCAGTTGCTACTCTGTGGAAAAGCCTAACCTATATACCATTTCAGGATTGAAAATATGTTTTTTTTTCACAATTCAATAGCCTTATACAGTCCTGGAATGGATCGGAATGTCGTCGTTCTGCATGCGGATAAGCTTTTCATATAATAATTGTTTGGTTATAGACCTTTACACTTAAACTGATATGCTAAATACTTGCATTATGCCTTCAAATTTTCGATGTTTGCCTTAACTTTAGTTGTGCTTTAAATTAGTGTTGATTAATTTTCAGTTGTGCTTAGATTTTATTTGTGCTCTAAATTTAGTTATGCTTCAGTTTTAGCATGTTTAGATGTTAGTAGTGCTTTGTGTGTATTTCAATATGTCTGTAATATATGCTGCTTATTTATCTTATCTGCATGCTTGCTCTCTGCTTTAATGTTATGCAGATGTTATTTATATTCGAAATAATATTATATGTGAACCGAATCAAAATAAAACTTTCGTATTCGTAAAAACAAAACGTAAATTAATATACTTATTAATAATAACGATGATTATTGTAACGACTGTATGGTTCTGATCCTGCCTGGAAAAAAATGTTCGTTATTTAGATGAAATGAAGAAATATATGAAGTTGTATAACTATGTGAACATTTTATATTTCATTTTAGTGTAAACAATTTTATTTTTTTTTTACAAAATCATAGTGTATTGTCTTGTGTCTATAAATGCCATGCTGTCCATCAAGGTACTTTAATTGGAATAATAAATATTCTTCTTCTTCCTATTCTTATTCTTATAAACTAAAAAAATATAAACGGAGTAAACAAATGCGTTCAGATACGTTTATATCATAAATCTTGTAAAATATATTCAGATCATACATTCTTCCTCACAAATTGACTCCGCATTAACAGTCTCATTTCATGGCGTAAACATATTTGCATTAATGAATATTTTATTAACACGCAGCTGATACATTAGCATTTTCTTCTTATTCTCCGTCATTGATCGTGAATATACATATTTCATAAATTATTGTCACTTGTAACTGGACAACATGGTATAGATTGTTCTCTATAAAGAGTATCTTAGAATTGTACATTAAAAGTAATAACAGAAATCGGCACAGTACAAGACATCATCACTTGACTCCTCCGAAAAAAAACATGATATACAATTAAAGACAATATCAAGCAACAACTAACCATACATAGTCTAGATAGACTGACTTAGTACAGACACACAATGTGATGGGCACAAACCTTGAATATGAAAAAGATGTTTGGCACACGTTAATGAGACAGCAATCCAACCACACAAACAGTTAAAAGACGTATAGAGGTCAGTTAATGGCATACGATACAGTTTTGATCCCATAATGAAAATTTGATGAATATTTGCAAATAGGCTATTTTTTACCTAATTAAATCAAATATGTAATAAAAAATATACCTTCATTTTCAGATATTTGCTCAAAATTCGGATTTGTGGACGCATTTTTCCTTCCGACAGAAATGCATAACTTTTTCGTTTTAAAAGATAAACACATGCTGTTTTTTGTTAAATTATTTGTAATTTCTGTTTTATATAAGTATC